GGCGGAGTTCGCAAGTAGAGGTAAATTTTTGGGGCTGGAGCTGGTCGTATCTTGAAAAATTGGTAAGGAGGGGCGTTCGTAACTAGAGGTACCACTGTATATTTTTTAAAAGTCTCTGGATTTTGCTTATCTGAACCTTCATGGCAGATTGCCTGCTATCTGTAACCATCCTTATTTATTTAATTACTATATTTATGTAATTAATATAATTAATGTATGTTGCTTATTCTCAAAACATTATGGGAAATATTGTTCCTCCCCTAACTGACTGAATAATTTAATATCATTATCATTGGTTTTTAGTTACACTACTATTCTTTTCTTCCTTCTGCAGTTAAATTCAGAAGAAGTTAATCAATTGGTCAGAACACTTAGGTGTCCAGAATGCAGTGCAGATATTACATTTGAGAGAGATCCTCAACAAATTGCTGATATAATGGAGGAAGCCAGGTTACGTCTCTTAACTGCACAGATAGTTCGTATTTTTATTTGTGTTAATGTTTTTTTGTTCTAAATATAGTATTTGATGTATGTAATCTGAGAGCAAAAGTATTTAGCAGGACTAGGGTAAGAGCTTTGGGGGGGGGCTTATTCTTATTCCCTCAATAGCTCCTTGGTTTCAGCCATTCCATTTTGGTAATTATGTAAATTATATATCCACCCAGAGTCATGTATCCTGCCCAGAGTCATATATTTGAGATGGGCAGCTATATAAATTGAAGCAAATAAATATACTCAGTGTGGTAGTAAAAGGTACCACCCCCCATACACTTGTGAGCTGCATTCAGTACCAGACTATGAGATGCTCCCTCCATACCCCACATATGATCTGCTTAAAGTGCCCTTGTAAAAAAACATTTACAGCAAGCTGAACTGATCCTGAGTGGCGACGGAGAAGAATCAGTCAGGGATCAGTGGCCCAGTAAACCAAATTGTTTATATTCACTGACCATATCTCAAAGATAGTATAGCTGACATGTTGTCCTAGTTGGAAAGGTTAAATAAGAAGGTCACCCGAATGGGTTTATCAAAAACATTCCAGTGTCATGCTGTAATTTACACTGTCTCTGCTTTTTTCTTTGTCTTATCTTTGCAACGTAGTAAGCCAAGGGCATGTAAGCTCTGCTTCTGCTTTTGCTCAGGGCTGCCCAACAAGCTGCCAATGGTTTGCTGGGAGCCCAGGGTACACTGTACTGTTTGCATGCCTAATAAAATTATGTTGTATTTTCAAAGTAATTGGGTTGCTTTAGATGAGCCAGGTTTGGGCCACAACATCACCTTCCTCGGGTAGTTTATAAAAGTCACACAATGTTAATAAATAATTAATCCTCATATATATGTGAAATAATTGAGATAATAAAATGCTGCTTTGGGAGGGGGGTGTTGCAAGAAATGAGGGCACTGAAATAGAAAGGCATTTAGTGCCTTCATTGTCTTGCATTCCCTGGCAACTGATTTGTTTAGCCACCTCCATGTAAATTTTAAAATAATATCCACTTTGTAATTCAGGGGTTCTTAACTTTTTTGTGCCATGGACCCCACTGAGAATCTGAGAAACTTCACTTTCTGAGAAAGAAGCAGAGAAAATAAAAAATAAAGACAATGGATTCTAGATTACTAGAATCATAGGATTAATGGCTTGTATGAATATTTAGGCACAAAAGAACCTTTGAAATGCAAGCTGGGTTGACCATTATCAATTACAAATATTTGAGAAATAAAAGGTACTTCACTCAACCAAACATGTTCTAGTTTCACTTTTTTATAGGGTTTAATAAACATTTTTAGAGTGTAGAAGCCATACATTATTTTGTTGCCTATATTTATTATTGAATGAAAAGCTAAATTTCAGGGAGAGGTTACTGAAAATAAAGTTGTAATTTTTTTCCCATTCAAATTTATGGATCCCCTGAATCCATCCACAGACCCCTAAGGGGTTAAGAACACCTGTCTTGAGTGATATATTGCTTTGGGAAAATTCATTGGCTGGCCTTGGAGCAGCAAGCAATTATTACTTGCCTTTGAGGATTCTTGGTGTCTTTCTTGGGTTGAGGGACCCCGAACCAATATTTTTTGGTCCTTTGTTAGCCCTTTGAGGTAGTCCAGACAAGAACTATGAGTACCAGCTGTATCTTTATTGTAAGGTTACATTATCAGCTCTTCATCCTGTCTCCTAAGGTTGTTCCCACGTATTATTACATTCTTCCACAGCTTAATCCAGAATTTTGACCATATTCTGATAATAAAATGTATAGTAATACTTCTGTGACCCACATACAGTCTCTAATATGCCATAGGATATTTCAAAAGGAATTGCTACATCACTATAATACAATTCTATGAGGAATAATTTGGATATTTTTATAATCTACAATAACACAGAAACTATCTCACCACATTAGTTCATGACTTTAAAGATATCTTTTAACATTCCTCTTTCATTTTCTTAATTTTCTTTTCTTTCATGAGAGATGGAGTATAGGTCTATTTGGATTTAAGATTGCTTAACAGTATCATGACTGACAGATGCTCCTATTCCAGGGCCAATCTAATCTATTCTTATGTATGCATGAAGTAGACCACTGTACTTCTTGGAATTTCTCATGAAGGCTAAAATATAAACAGAATGTACTATATTTTTGTGGTCAATCTGTCTATAGCATCATAGAAGGTTTTCTACCTACCCTTAATTATATTGGAATTTTTTCTAATTGTGGGAAGTTTGCCTCATTCTCAATATACATCTGAAAGGAGCATGGCTCTCACCTCAAGCCCACCATTTTGACAGCTGTCTTGCTTTTCTTGTGAGGGAGTCAATAGTGGTTGGTATGTACTGCTTTTTCTATATGATTGAAGGAAACATTGATAATTTGTGTTCATATTTGCATTATCGGGGATTTATCAGACAGGTCCACCTTAATCCTTTATCTCTTGAAATAATTATATTTAATAACAGCATTTAAGCCTTTCAGGATTTGTGACTCTACTCTGTTCTGGTCTTGTTGGGGTTCTTGTTGGCATACTGGCAATCTCTGTCGAAATTGCTTGGCAAGACACCATCCATTGTCAGAAGTGATCCTAGCATGAATAACATTGTTTGGTCCTGATGAATTTAGGACCACCTTTGTTCATATTCTCCCTAACAGTTTTTACAGTGCTGGGGGGAAATTATGATATTAAATTTAAAAAATCAAATTCTGGTCAATTTGTTTTTAGCTGTCTCATATTTCAAATGAGCCATGTGGTGTTGTAGTTAAGATTTTGCACTGGCATCAGGAGATCCAGTTTCTAGTACACCCTCAGCCACAAATGGTTCACTGGGTGACTAGGCCAGTCATTCTTTTTCAGCTCAATGTATCTCAAGGAATGTTATTGTGGGGAAAAAATAGGAAAGATCACTATGTATTCTTCCTTTAACTCCTGAATTAAAGACAGGTTATAAATCAAATATTTTTTAGATAACTGAAAATCTATAATTTCTTTCATACCGTTATAACAGTGGGCAACTTCAGTTCCTCTTTTCTTCCACTTCTGTGATGGCATACAGTATTCTTAACTGTTGATACTATTGGATACTTTTCAACGTCTACTCTAAAATTGTCTCAGAAAAGGCCACCATGTTGATTCCTGTGCTTATTGTCAGAACTTCACACCAGAGGTGTATAGGAGCTGGTTACTTACTTCAATATTTCATTTAGGACTGGCTCTAAGATCAGCCTCTTTTGTTTCAAGCTCATCTGCAATTAGAATTTGCAAGACTCCAGTTCTTGCTAATTTAGATCTCCTTCCTTCCTCAGCCATTTCATCCTCATCAAAAAATGTAAGATGCTAAAATATTAATTGTCTAAGCCAATTCAACTCCAGGTCCTTTCACCCACACTGGCAGCTGATCCCATCATTAGCTGTATCCTATTTATCATTTTTTAGACCTGTCCAAGAGTCCCTGGACCCTCCTAGCATTAGAAAACTTCTCTTGCTCCCACCTTCAGTACTAAAAAAGCTGAAGACTAATTCAGTGACTAATGTAACCATAAAGAAAATTCGAATACAGTGCCTCAAGTCTCTTTGACCCAAATTCCATCCAGCAATAAAAATTTGGTCTATTTCAATTTTTTAATAGTAATTTTATTAAAAATTATAATTACAATGATAAAAAACTATACAAACTAAAAAAAAATAGAAGGTACAGAAAAAAAGAAAATAGAAAAGAAATAGAAAAGAATGGAAAGTAAGAATATAGTAAACAAAAAGAAAAGAAATTACTTTTCCCTTCATCACAACAAATACCTGTATAAACAATTTTAGTAACCTATGAAAAATTTGGTCCATTTCAGAAGGCAAGGAAAAAAACGGTTCACATAGGTCCTTATTCTTGTAGCTCCTACAGAAGCTTTTTTTGGATTTCAGAGGTTTGGTCCAATCTGCATTTGCCACTTTAGACTGGTTTAGGTTTTCTAGCAGGAAACCTATTTTGTTACCAACCAGCAAATCCATCCCATACCATCATAGCTGAGCTTGGCAAGTGAGTTTTGGGTGGATGTGGGTTTGGGAAAGTGCGGTGGTCCCTTTGCCTATCAAGCCCTTTAGGCTGGCATACTCAGGAAATAAGAACCACTTGGATTTCTGGAATGATCTTTATTGCTAGTAAGGTAATATACTACCTTTACTCTTGAAAGGCTACTAAAGCAGTTCTCCAGATCAATTTGCACCTAGTTGTTAATTAATTAAGGTAGAGTTACTGAGTTTCTTTCTCATGCTCCCCCCCCCCACACACCTAAGGGTTTTTTTTCTGTAATGGTCATACTCTGTTCTCTGAATCTGGAAGACATTCCATCACATGTATATTACAGGTAATCCTTGAGTTATGACCATTCATTCAGCAACCATTTGAAGTTACAGTAGTGCTGAATGAAGGGACTTACAAGCCGTCCTTAAAGTTTTGCCCATTGCAGTGTCCCCATGGTCACATGAACAAAATTCGAGTGCCTGTCAACCAACTTGCACTTACAACCAATTGCAGCATCCCATGGTCATGTGATCACTATTTACACCCTTCTCTGCCAGCTTCCTCCAAGCAAAGTCAATGGGAAGCTGGCAAGGAAGGTTGCAAGTCGCTGGGGTAAGTCTCTCCCCCCCCCAGCCTTTCTTCACTTGCACGCACCGCATCCTCCTTCCTCCCTTCACTTGCACACACCCCGTGCCCTCTTTCCATGGCCTCCCTGCAATCGCACACACCCTGCACTCTGTTTCCACGGCATCCCTGTGATTACACACACACATGCACATACCCCATGCCCTCTTTCCCTGGCCTCCCTACAATTGCATGCACCCCGCGCCCTTATTCCCTGGCTTTTCTGAGCTTGCGCTGCACTGAGCACCCTCACCTCCGACTCGTGCGCGGCTTGTGCCAGGCATCCCAGGCCCTCCCCTTGCAGCACCCCTGTACTCCTTACCTGGGACTCCCTCTGCTTCCTACTGGGTTGGGTGATGACAAACGGGACTGCCTGGATTGCTGTCACTAAATAATGTGGTCACATGATGTTGCACTTTACTACCACATTGCTTAGCAACATCAATCCCGGTCCCAATTGCAGTCATAATTCGAGGACTACTTGTATATCTCAAATGTCCACATACCTTCCTAACATATGATACTCTCAGGTAAGTTCACTAACTTGTTTAGCAGGCTGGATGAAGTACAGTTATGCTAAGAGAATGGTGTGTGGGGAGAATCATTCTACATCACATCCCCATTGTAATAATGCTTTTAACTGGCCAGTAAAGAGCAGTGAAGGGTTTGAGGAAAGATGAGTGCAATACAGGTAGTCCTTGACTTATAACCATTTGTTTCCTGACCAAAGTTACAACAGCACTGAAAAAAGTGACTTACAACTGGTCCTCGCAGTTATGACCATTGCCACTTCCCCACAGTCATGTGATCGCCATTTGCAGCCTTCCCAGCTGGCTTCCAACAAGCAGAATCAAAGGAGAAGGGAAGGTTGCAAATGGCAGGGAAGTTGCGGTCACATGATGTCTCACTTAATGACTACAGCAAAAAAGGTCGTAAAATTGGGTGTGGTCACGTGATGCCTTACTTAATGACTGCAGCACTTAATAAATTTTCCAGTCCCTACTGTGGTCATAAATTGAGGAGTACTTGTAGTGGCTAAGGAAAGGCATCCACGTTCAGCAGTACAGACCTCAAACCCCCTGCCTCCAAAGAGCTTCAAGTATAAATAATCTTTCTGTTAGTTTCATACCTGGCATACAGAATCTCTGAGTTGCACTATGCCATGCTTTTCCATCAAGATATCTTTGCCAGGTCCAAATCCATTTTTCACTGGCTATAAAGTTCTGGTCTCCAAATTAGTTGAGGCCCATGATTGTTAGCTTTGATGCCCATTTTGTCATTTTAAAATTAAGTTTGCTGGTAATGAGGACTAGGCTTTGCAACCTTCCCAGCTGGCTTCTGACAAGCAAAGTCAATGGGGAATCAACAAAATCAACAATGCAAGGATGCTATCATCGTTATTTAGATGCTAGTTAACATTCATAGAACCTATACTCACTGCAGACAGGATCTTTTGCTCAAAAATTATTTTGTCGTCTTTTATAGGAGAAGGCTGTAGTTTCCTTTGGGTTCTAGGATTTAGGGCTTCATTTGAAGTATTTCATTATCTCTTGAAAGGATGGTAGCTTTTGCCAAACCTCAGTCTTTAGGAGAGGAACTTCATCAGGCTCAAAAAGTTCAGAATGGTAAAACTTTAAACACATTACACATTGACACTTGCATGTCTGTGGTCATTGTTTCTATTTCCATGGGGAATGGAACTGCCTTTATGTTCTGAGAAAACGATTTGACAAGCAAAAGGAAATCAGTTTTCTTTCTTCATTACTAGGTATTTTCTGTGACAAAGAGAAATCACTGATGTAATATGGTCCCTGGTATGCAATTAGAGTTTTAAGATGGAGAAACATTCTCAATAGCTATTACAGATAATTCAAGGTGACTGCCATTTATACAACAGGATGATTGCAATCCTACCTGTTTTTCCCCTCAGATTTAGAATGGTTGGAGTCCAAAGATGGCTATCAGTTAATAAAGGATGGCAGACTCAATTGAAGATTGCAACTTTAAGTGGTTACATATCAAAATTATATGACATCAGAGATTAAGAACCACATATAGAACTGCTGTTTTATCTCAGATGTGATAGTGCTTCTCAGTGGAGTCCATAAGTAGAATTAGTAAACTGATAGGGTTGTATGAATAAAAGCAGGCAAGCAATTAGCATGAATATATTTCATATAAATAATTGACTTATAGGTTAACTAGCCAACAGTTCTGGCATTATATTTATTCAATATTTTTTTTAAATATAGGCTAGTTATCAGAAGCAATATAACCGTGGTATGCTGAACCAAGATGCTGCCCAAACATTGATAGGCGCGGCAGAAAGCTATGTTGATATTGAAGGAAAGTAAGTGCTTAACAATTAATTTAAAAAATCTAAATGGACATGCAGCTATTGTAATTCAATATTCCAAATAAGAAAAGAAGATATTGTAATTTAATATGTTATTTTTATCGTTGTTGCTATTATTTTTATTGACAAAATGTTAGACCTTTTATAAATAGAGCAATGCTGTATTTTTAAAAAAATAACGCAATATAGATCTAATAAAAAATATATTGCCAGCGATATAAAATACCATAAAAGTGAGTTGAAGCAAGAGTTTAAATTATTGACATATAACAGAATGATTTTTTTTGATTTAAAGAAAACATTAAAAGACTTTGGAGAATGAACATTTCATAACCCAATGACAGGAACAAAGACATGTTGGCTGCAAATGAATTTTTCTAAGGGGAATGTTCCACTCTTTCTTGCAGTTAAGTTTCAGATGTGAGGGCACTTGAGAAGGACTTTAGAATGTGACCTTTGTGCATGGGTTCTGTCTTATGAGTTGAAAAACTTTATAAATCGAAACCGTTGCTATGAATTGGGAGCAAACTCTAATACCATATAAACCAGATAATCCTAATTATGACTTTTACCACATTTTGCAGCAGCTGTAATTTCTAAATCTAAACTGTATAAATGGGAATTAATCAGAGCATCATACCATATCAGTGATATTATCCAGATTGCTAATTATAACAATGGGTTCAAGAGCACCCCCAAACAATGATCTTTGTGTTTTAGGGGAAGTGCAACTCCTTTCCAGAATGAATTAAATCTGTTTTATTCAAACTTGCAATGTAATATTTATAAAATTTTTGAAGCTAGGAATATATTATTTTCACATTTCTCAATGAGCCTAATTTTAAAAAAAATAGAAATTGTATACTAGTCTGTTTTTAAAGGATCTTTATGAACTAAGGTCACTTAGTTACATGTGTTCATAACATCAAGAAGTTTGATAGATGAAATTTAAAAGGGTATTTCAAATATTTAAAAATGTGGTTGAATGGATGATTTTCCCCAAAACTACTAGAGTAATTAGAATTCAGTTGTAATATTTATTTACATTTTACATTATCATTGATATGTAAAAATAAAAATGTAAATTGAAATAAAGTTTATTATTAGGGATATATAAAATGTCATATTCTTGCAATAGCAATTTCAAGTGTTTTGAACCTGGAAGAATATACTCGCATTTTCTGAAATTTTATACTAAGCTTGGAAGAAAATGAAGCCTTTCATTTTGAATGTTCCACCACTGGGAGCAATAGGAATTCAAAACAGGCCCTTGTTTTTTTGTTTTTCAGAGTCACAACCCTAACCTCTACAAAGCCTCTAAGGTTCTCAAACCTAAATTCATTTGACTGTATGGGGAGGACATTTTACTCTGGGCATCTCCAGTTTCAAGAACTGGCCTAAGCTATTCTGTCACAACTTTTTAGTATAGCACTAAGAAAGGTTTTATTGAGTAAAGTATCAAAAACTATTTAAAAAACACATTTGAAGCAATCCAAAGGCTAAGAAATTATGAAATGCACAATATATATACACGGCAAGAACTTTCTTGAATAAATACATCTGCTTCCCTTTTTAAAAAACTTGACCTTTAAGAGCTGCACTAATTTATAGCTAAAGTTATCAAATCCATTTTGATTATTTCATGAACATACCCATGTAATTTTCTTGGCAGCAGGATGGAAATGCTTGCCATTGTTACCTTCTAGGATAGTTTTTTAACTCTGCATTCTAATCTGCATGTCTAGCATTTCCTGGCTGAAATCCATTCAGATACTAAAGCAGATCTGCTTTCAAGCACAATCTTGAAAAGCCAATCTGAATTAGAGCTTCTTCCAAATGAATTCAGTTCCTGATGTTTCTTTTTTCACAGCCTGGGAATCTAGTAGAGTGTTATGAGAGGATTACAGTATTTATTTCTTTGGCAGCAAATAGAAAGCAAGCTGCACAAAACTAGCAAGGTATTTTGTTCAAATAGAAACAAGCAGAAATAAATAGAATCAAGAAACAAGCAGAATCAGATCCTAGATTGGTGGGGGGAGGCAATTTGCAACTAGTTAAAACTTTTGGAAGGAGATGAGAGTTACAAAAAAATGAATTTTTAGTAAGCCAAACTATTTCAAGGAAGGTAACAAATCAGGTAAATCGTTCGCTTATCAACTGAAAAAAGAACAATTTGGGACAGAAAGAAACATGTTTCAAATTAAGAGATGATGAGTCAATTTGTTAAATGCTATTCTCAACTATATGGAAAAGACCAACTTTGGAGAAGATTATAGAATATTTGGATACAACACACATTAGAGATTTACAGATCAGCAAAAGGAAATACTACTTGTACTGAATAAAAGAAATCCTGGAGAAGAATTTAAAGCTTGGGTTAAAAGTATATATCAATGATAAATGACAAAGATCATAGCTAATGAAATATCTACATATTTTTCAATGAGTAAAGGTACCAGATAAAGATGTCCACTTTCTTTCTCCTTTACTATTGTTGATTGCTTTAGAAGTATTAGCAAATAAGCGTTGAAAAAATAAATACTAGGCATCAAGACTCAAGGAGAGGAATAAAAATATTATGCAGATGATGTACTATTATGTAACTGCAAAATGCAATAAGAGAACTGATGAAAACAAAGGTTTTTGTGAATTCTCAGGATACAAAATTAACATACAAAAAATAAATATATTAAACAAGGCATTTACTTCAAGAAGAAGAAAGCTTTGTGCAGAAAGGGTTGGGTTGCCAGACAACAAATATTTGGGATTGTATTTGACAGGCAGTAGTAAATTCTTTTTTTTTTTGTAATAACTTTATTAAATTTTTAAACAAGAAAGATAAAAACTAAAAAGAGCTAATATTTAAGAAAAGGGGAAAAAAAATAAAGAGAACAAAGCCAAAAGTACAGAAAGAAAAGGAAGAAAAAAGAAGCATAAAGAAATGATTTCTGATTTTCTTATACAACAGTTATAGTTATAGATTAAAATTGAACTCTTACTCTAGGGTTACAACATAAGTTTCATTTTTTCTATCTAATATTTTTCTAATCATCAAACCCATATATTATAATTTCATTTTTTTCTGTTTCACACAAAAAGTCCAAAAGGGGTTTCCAATCAGTATTTCCAAGCAGTGTCTCTAATCAAAGCTGTCAATTTAGCCATCTCAGCAAGCTCCATCATCTTCACGATCCACTCTTCCATTGTGGGTAATGTCACATCCTTCCACTGTTGAACATATAAAAGTCTCACTGCTGTTACGATGTGTAAAAACAAAGTTCCATGAGTTTTTTTCCAACTCTTTGTCATTCAGTCCCAAAAGGAACACCCCTGGCTCCAATTGTATTTTAATCTTTAACATCTTCTGAATTAATATATGTATTTGGATCCAAAATTGTTTAGCTTTTTTACATGCCCACCAATCATGACAAAAGTCCCCTCTTCACATTTCCAACATAGATTTGAAGTAACTTTATACATTTTAGACAATTTTTCCAGTGACAAATACCAACAATATATCATTTTATAAACATTCTCTTTAAGATTATAACAGAATATAAATTTCAGTCCTTTCATCCACATATTCTCCCATTGTTCCATTTATAAACAAAATGTTTGGCCCATTTTATCATACATTCTTTCACTTGTTCTTCTATTTCAAAACTCAATAACAGTTTATACATTTTAGCAATAACATGTTAATCATTTGTACATCATTCTGTTTCAAATTCATTCTTATGGTATTTAAAACCAAAAGTTCTTTTATGTACTTTAAATCTTTTTAATAATTGTACATAGAAAAAACATTGACACGTACATCCTTCTAATGTCAAATCATCTCTTGATTTCATTTTGAATTGCCCCTGTGAAAATTCTAATATATTACCATAAGTTTACCATTTATGTTATCATTTGTCTTCTGTATTATGCTTCTTGTGGTGAAAGCCACAAAGGTATTTTCAGACACAATCTGGATTTATATCTACAGGTAGTCCTTGCTTAACAGCCATTCGTTCAGCGACCATTTGAAATAATGACAGTACTGAACGAAGGGACTTACAACCTGTGCCCAAAGTTATGGCCATTGCAGTGCCCCCGCAGTCACGTGATCAAAATTTGGGTGCTTGGCAGCCCACCCACACTTTCAACTGCAGGAGCACTTCAACTCCCCTGATCCGCCTATCTTCCCCCAATCTCTGCCCTTTTGGCCCCCTGCCGCCCTGCACTCTTCCATTGTGGGTAATGTCAAATCCCAGCTGACCTTCACCGCCATCTTCCTGCTCCTGCTGCTGACAAGGGATACCTGGCCTAGCTGCTGGGCCCCATGGGACTGGCTTTGCTCTGGGAAGAAGGGGAAAAGAGCCGAAAGCAGGCTTTCCCCCCCTTCTTTGCAGTACAAAGCCCTCTTTGGAGATCCTGGGAGGAGTGGGGCTTGCTTCACGCTGTGAAGAAGGGGGAAAAAAGACTGCTTTCGGCTCTTTTCCCGTTCTTCCCAGTGTGAAGCCAGCCCTGACCCCTCCCAGGAGCTGCAAAGAGAGCGTTGTGCTGGGAAGAAGGGGAAGAACTGAAAGCAGCCTTCCCCCCCCCCTTCTTTGCAGCACTCCCTCTTGTCCCTGTGGGCTGGCTGAAAAACCAACATGCAGAAAGCCAAGTAGGATTTCGAGCCCTGGAGGATTTTCAGCCCCAGAGTGGAGAGGCTTCAGAAGCCTCTTGACTCGGGTTAAAATCCAAGCAGTTCTGAGGCCCTCATGCACCCGACCTGCACTACATCCCATGCACCCCCTCACTCCCTCATCCAGCAGCATCTGGGGCTTGCAACTTCTTGTTGGCTTCCCCACTGACTTGGTTGTGGGAAGCCAGCAGGAAATTGCCTCATCTAACGTCTGGGGAGTTCACTTAATGACAGCAACTAGCACTGCCAGGATTGCAGTCGCTAAGCGAAGCGGTCACGTGATAATTTGTTTAATGACTGCATCACTTAGCAACCTAAATTCCAGTCCCAATTGTGATTGTTAAGCAAAGACTACCTGTATTCCATTTTCTCAATATGGCCCACCTAACAAAATGATTTTTAAAGTCAACATTAATTTTAGCTTTATCATATTATAACCAGGCTACCGAAACCTGAAATCCTGTCCTTCTAGCTCCAATAATCTGTTTCTCAGCATCACCCACTCTTTCAGCCAAAGTAAACAGCAAGCTGCAAAGTATAATTTCAAATCAGGTAAATCCAAATCTCTTCTTTCCTTAGCATCTTGTAACACCTTATATTTGACTTGTGTTTTTTTCCCCTACCAGATAAATTTAGATACATCTTTCTACCACTGTTTAATTGGTACATCAGTTGTCAAAACAGGTATTGTTTGAAACAAAAATAACATTCTAGGCAAAACATTCATCTTAATCATAGAAATTCTCCATAACAATGATAACTGTAATATCTTAACATGTCTTTTTTAACTTCATTCCATGTCTTAACATAATTATTTTGAAATAATATACAGTTCATATTTGTCAAAGTAGCACACAAATATTTTACCTTTTTCTCAATATTGAAATCTGTTTTGTTCATCAATTGTATTTGATCTTGTGTCTTCATGTTTCTTGTTGGCATCTTTGTCTTCTATTTATTAATCTTAAAACCAGCTAATGTACCACATTCTTTTAATTTTCTCATTAGTAATTCAATCCCTTTTAAGGAATCTTCCAAAACCAACACCAGGTCATCTGCAAAAGCTCTCAACTTGTCTCTTTTCAATTTGCAATTTCAAAATAATTAAACCAGATTATGGAGGGAAATGTAAAAAGATTTTGAAAGGGGAATATTTAAAACTCTCCTGGTGAGGATCAATTGTGACTGCTAACATGAATATATTACCTACATTTTTTTTTCAAATAGTGTCAGTTTTAATCCCCCCAAAAATCTTTGGCAAAAAGTAGTTAATAAATTTATTTGGAAAGGAAGAAAAAAACCTGGAGTAAAATAAAATTTTTTACAAGGTTTGAGGTGGCTTGCTCTTCCAAATTTTATATTACTGTGAAGTTGTTTGACATGAATAATTGAATGGATAAAATCCCCAAACAGCAGAATGCCAATATTAGAAGGCCAATGTTAGCCTTCACAGGTATTTATGGCATAATGATACAAAAGAAGAAAAAACTTAAAATCACATATTTTAAGATAGAGCCTGATAAAAATATGGAATTCCACAAAGATAGTATGTTCAACAATCTTGACTTTATTCTCACTCTCAAATGCTTTTTATTCAGGAGATATTTATTGCAAGAAAAATATAATTACATATGTGGATATGATACATCCAAACTTAATTAAGGTTAAAGACACAGCAAGAATTATTTGGTGAAGGCCAAAATCTACCATGGTCGATGTATTTACAGATTTCTGGAAGAATAAAATGTGATCTTCAGAAAGAAGGCTTTTTAAGACATAATTTGAAACACAGAGAACCAAGACCACCTATTAGGACATACATACAAATTACTATTAAGATAAAACATAGAGAAGAACAAGTAAAAAACTGTATGATAAAATGGATGCAACATTTTAAACAAACAATTACAATACAACAATGGGATGACTTATAGAAAAAATAAAATTTACCCTATGCTATAATTTAAGGGAAATTGGTACAAAATGTTTTGCAAATGATACATAACTCCATCAATAATTACAAACATAAATAAATCATATAATAAAATGCTGGAAAGAAATACACAGCATTATTCAAAAATTAAAAAAAAAACTTTTTACTATGAATTGTTCCAGAACAAATAACTGAAAAAAAACCCCCAATTTATTAAGTTATATGCTGATGGATGTGAAGACACATTGCCAACTATATCAGATTGGGAAACCAAACTTGGGGAATATGCAGCAATAGTAAAATTAACAGTATATATTCAGAACAGAAGTTTGACTAAATTTAAGCAAGAATGGCTTCTGTATCACACAGAATATCAGTATCTGTATCATACAGAATATCATACAGGTATGTCACACAACAAGGCAAACCTAGAAACTACAGTTTTTAAGGGGGAAATAATTGACTCAAAGACAGTAACTAGAAACATTGTTTGAAAATACAGTATGTTCATGTTATCAGTCAGGTACAATGGAAGATATTGAGGATTACCTTGTATTTACATTTTCGCTTCTGTTTTCAAGTATATGCTTTTAATTATTCCAGGTTTATGAATATTCATGAAGTAAAAACATATTGGGAAAGCAAAGGCATGCTGGTCACAGTTAAGAAATGGCTATCTGAATGGGTTTACACTGTGAAAGAGGAACCTTCTAAGCCATCAAAGTTAGTATATATTAATGTATATTAAAATATCTATGAAGAAAAAATTAACATTTTTATATTATGAAGGTGATATATACACTGTTATATTCTAAGATTAGTAACTGGAATGCTGAATACAGTGATCAAGAACTACTGGGTCCAAGCACCCAGATTTATTGGAAATCAGCTTTTGTTCCAATTCAGCAAATATTTAGTCTCGAAATAGCAATCAGTTATAGAACGCCAGAAAAAAGGAACTGCAGCAAATTAAGTTCGAAATTGGAAACTCAATATCAGAAAGGCTAGTAGAGACCAGTACAGGTAGTCCCCAGTTTAAGAACGAGTTCTATTCCCAAGGTCTGTCCTTAAGTCGAATTTCTATGTAAGCCAGAACAGTATTATTGTATAAAACTGTATAAGTAGTATTGTGTAATTAACTTGAACTACTGTGTATTTAACTTGAATCATTGTGTATTTAACTCAAATTTTGCTACAGTTGGCTCTGTTCTGAACTATGGGTCGTCTGTAACCCGGGTGTTCTTAACCCAGGGACTACCTGTAATCAACTTCCAAGGCAGATTTATGAGAAAGATTGTGGAAGATTGGCTGGTGTGGGTCTTCCGGGCTGTGTGGCCATGTTCTGGAAGTCTTGTTTCCTAACGTTT